TTGAGTGTATATTAAAGTGCAAGTTGAGCACATTTTGGCTGTGCAGTCTCTGCATTGCTGAAGCTTCTCGTCACTTCATGCATGCCGTGCAGCACAAAGCTGAATTTCACACGGTTTCCAAAAGTTCTTAATGAAGTTCTTATTTTTGAAACAGAAAATCTATATAAATACTTTTTTTCTTAAATTTGTCAAAATGTCTTATTTTATATGATGGAATATCACATACTTTATAAACTAGATTTCCATTTCACCATGTTCACAAATGTTCTACATTTACATTTCTACAATTGTCTTTGCTAAAGAACTGTTGCAGCACCATCTTTAAGGGTGTAGAATAAGCAATGCTGTGCAAAAGTGAGAGATCATCCTGCATTTATTTAATTTCCAGTCAAAATAAGCTGAAAAACTGATTAAATCTGCAGAGAAAGTGTCTCCTAACAACCACCTGGAAGACCTGTTAGACACCAGAACTGCCCCCATCAGATAAACAGCACTTAAAGCTTTCATCTCTGAGAGAGAGGAGAAAATCAAGCTGATCAGATCTGAAAACATCCACAGGTGTTTCTGTCCATCCTTCCACTGTGAGAAGACGACTCAGCGCTGTGGGTCTGAAAGGATGTGTAGCTGATCAAGAAGAACCTCACTGAGAAAAGGAGACGAACACATCAAACAAAGAAGCTGAACGATGGACTGACCACCCCAGAGTCCAGACCTCAACACCACTGAATGTGTTTGATTACTTCAGAAAATCATCAACCAGCTTCTAAGACTGAACTTTGGAGGTGTGTCTGCAGATTCTTTGAGGAACTGAAAGTGAGACTCCTGAACAGAATGGAAGCTGGAATAAAGGAAGAGAGACTCACTGACTCACACAGCTGAGAGTAGATTAGCTGTGGAGGCTTCTGTGTGATTTCCTGCTAAACTTGGCTGGAAATGAAAGAAATGCAGGGAGGTCTGAGATTTGAGCAGCGCTGGCGTATAAATCATATGACAGTGTAAACTGGTAACCAAAGCTGCTTTCTCTGTTTCATTGAGATTGTTTACAGGTGTTGTTAGTCAGATCTAATTTCTTCAGAGCTCACAGTTTGACCTTAAGAGTAATCACACTCGTTCCTCCAGTCGCATTCCTCGGACTCGTTACCAATCCCAAATTAAAGGTCAGTGAAAACCAAAAGGCTTGTCTTTAAAAGCTGCAATTTCTACACATACAAGCCTTTTAATAATTGTCCTGCGACCTGCTCGACATTCACGGCCTGCCGTTCTGCTCAGTGTAGGATTGCAGCCTCGGAGCTGAATGAGAGAGAAACGGAGCAGAACAATGTGTGTGGAAGTGCTCGGTTTCACCTCAGCAGCCACACAAAGGCAGACTGTTTGCTGCTCTACTGGTGTCACTGCTGCCCCCTATGGCTGGTGATGGTATTGCACTGAACAATGCGGTCACTGTTGGACGGACGGCTGTTGCTATCACTGAAGCTGTTGTTTGTCTCCCGTTTAGATGCTCATCTATGACCGGCCTGGATGGTGCGGCCAGAGGATCGAGGTGCGGGGAGATGTGATGGATGCCACAGCATGGGAGTTTCCAGCGACCATCTCCATTAGAGTGGTCAGAGGAGGGTGAGGGCATCAGAGCACGCATTACACAACACCTCTGCTCATTTTAATGTGTTACTTTGCATTTCAAATCTGCCCTGAAGCTCAAAGGTAAGAGGTAAAGCAAGATAGGTGCTCATAAAATACTCAAATGCGCTACACAAAAACGAACAAAATACAGATGACTTTGCCCTGGAAAAAGTGAATGCATACATAAAAACATCAAATAGGTGCTTCAGAAATCACAAATACCTGGAGATGCCAAAGGAAGTCCATTGCAAAGGAAGCTAATGTGTACAACGACTGTAACCAATCAGCCTAAAAGTTTGATGCCCAAATGTAGCTTCTTCAGTTTAGGGCTGAAGCTGTGAGACTAAGGTCAATAGTCACCCAGATCTTTTCTGTAAATACATCCCCAAAACGTCTGAGATGGTGCAGATTTGTAGTTGTGGTTTAGGATTCAATATGACTCTATGCGACACACTCAATAAGTGCTTTGTGAAGTTCACCTCCTTGTTTCTACACCCACTGTCCACTTTATCAGCTCCACTGACCGCATAGTTTCACTCTGTAGCTCTACAGTTACAGACTGTAGTCCATCTGTCTCTCTGCATACTTTGGTACCCTGTTCTTCAGTGGTCAGGACCCCCATGGACCCTCACAGAGCAGGTACTATTTGGGTGGTGGATCATTCTCAGCACTGCAGTAACACTGACGTGGTGGTGGTATGTTAGTGTGTGTTGTGCTGGTCTGAGTGGATCAGACACAGCAGTGCTGCTGGAGTTTTTAAACACTGTGTCCACTCACTGTCCACTCTATTAGACACTCCTACCTTGTCGGTCCACCTTGTAGATGTAAAGTCAGAGACGATAGCTCATCTGCTGCTGCACAGTTTGTGTTGGTCATCCTCTAGTCCTTCATCAGTGGTCACAGGACGCTGCCCACAGGATGCTGCTGGCTGGATGTCATTGGTTCTCAGTCCAGCAGCGACACTGAGGTGTTTATAAACTCTACCCTTCAGCTCAGACAATGCTAGAAAGAAAAGCCAGAGCTGATATCTGGAAAGAGTCGTGAGCAGATAGTATATTATCACGTTCCCCAGTTAGTTAAATGGAATAGTGGAATAGACACACTACTGCTTTTAGTCGACACCACCACTGAATAATCAATAAATATATCGCTGTTTATATATATATATATATATATATATATATATATATATATATATATATATATATATATATATATATATATTAGTTGGAAGAAAACCTCGTATCTCTGTTCTTGTCATTTTTCAGTTTTTGACATAATTTGAAAATGCCTGTTGCTCTTTACAGTGTGTGTAAATTTCATGGCGAACGAGTTACGGGACGGCAGGGAGGCGGACCCAAGGGCAAAGATCCCGTGAGAAAGGGTGTTGCATTTATTAGGGCAATGGAGTGTGAATTTGGCACGTTGGGGTTGAGGATGTACTGATTGGCGGTCCGTTGAGTTACCTCTGCGCCACTGGGCAGCACAGGCGACAACGGGTAAAACACCTCAAGGAACGGGAAATAAAAAGGCGGGAAAACAGGCAGACAAAGGAAACTCTGAAAGCAGCTCAAACAAAGGCTGAACTAGAAACGTGAAGTAAAAGATAATCAGAAAACAAAAGGCTCCTCCACTGTAATTATGAAGGGGAGGCAGACTTTATGTTTCACTTCTTCGCTCTTAGTGGAGCAAATCCTTCTGTATGGCTGGAGCCGTTTGGAGCTCAAGCCTTCTTGTGTTTTTTTTTTGTATTGTTTTTTGTTTCGGGGTGATTACTCTCTTTTGTTTTTTCCAGCCCTCTTTTCTTTTTTTTTCCTTTTTTGTTTAAATACCCACCTGGGCTGCGTACCGTGCCAGTCACACCTCTACAAAGGTGTGACAAAGAGCTGCTGTTTGCCAGGCCTTAAGTAGAAGAGTCCACAGGTGTTTCAGGTTGGGCCTAATCAGCCCAAGGGCTTCTGGGAATTGGAGTTCCCCGAAGTTATGGCACTTCGCCGCCATCGCCCTCTGCTGGTGGCCGTGGGTGCAGGCTGGGCACCTTGCCGCCATCGCCCTCTGCTGGCGGCCTGTGGCGCAGACTGGACCCATACAGAAGGGATCAAAAGAAATGACCCAAAATGACTTGGAAAATGCTGTGCAACAAACATATTTTGATGAAATAAATATTTTCATATATGATTTGACAGGAGTCAGTTTGATCTTTTAAAATGTTAGAATTCTAAATAGCGACTGCCTGTTTGTTTACAGTGTCTGCAGAGTTCAGCTACACAGTGTAGTTTAGTTCATGTTTCTCTCTCAGTGAGTTGCACTGAGTCCTAAACCACATCTACACATCTGCACCACCTTCATGCAGAGCTGGTCGCAGTTTAATCCAGCTGAGAAAAGTCTTTGGGGATGTATTTACAAAACAGATTTGGGTGACTATTGACATCTACTGTTTGTTAGCGACGTTAGCTCCAGAGCTAAACTAAAGAAGCCGTTGGCTGATCTGCATCTGGGCTGAGTGGGAAACTGATATATTTGTCAGACCATTCAACGCCCTTCTGAAACGGACTAATGTACACTCTTAAAAAAGGTGGTTCTTCAAGAAAATGGTTCCATATAGAACCATGAACACCCAAACCGCTCTTTGCATCATTAAAAGGGCTGTTTGCATCATGAAAGTGTTCTTCAGAATGTGCTGTAGATGGTTCTATATAGAACCGTTATGAAAAGTGTTCTACATAGCACCCAAAACGATTCTTGTATTGTTACGATGTCAAGCTTGTAACAGTAGAAAACCCTTCTGGGTGCTTTATAGAACTAGATTCTATATACAGTCATCTACAGCACATTTACCATCAAGCTGAAGAACCATTTCACCATGCCAAGAACGCTTTATTCATGCACATAGTTCTTGGAGTGCTATTTGGAACCATTTTCTTTACTAAAGAACCCTTGAAGAGCCATCTTTAAGAGTGCAGCATGTTGTAAATACAGGAGAAAATGCACAAATTAGCCTGTGTTTAGTCCAAATCAGTCTGAACTTGTAGGCTCACCCTCGCCTGCAGCACCGGCGTCTCAGAGCTGCAGATCTTCACAGCCATGAACAACAGAAATGCCACAGCTCCTCACCTGCACACCTGACTTACCCCATTCACTCCGAATCGGCTCCCTCTGAGCGCACTGTCCTCCCGCGACACTCACTTTTGGCACTGTGGAGTGAGTTTGCCTGGACAGGTTGGTGTGTAAAATCACAGCAGTGATTATATGTTGTGATAGCGTCCTGTTAGCTGCTTTATAGATTATGCAATAACCTCTAACAAATAAAACACAGATCAGCCAGGTTTCCATCCGGCTGGTGGATTAAGTTCAAGCGAATAGCTGAAATGTGAGCTTTTCCATCAGAGAACAAAACTCTACATCACCACTTTAACAACACTGCAGAGGAACATGGAGCCAGTTTACACACAAGCTTTAAACAGAACATATACTTTATTTATTCAGCTATGGAAACTTAAGGTCCAAACCAGCTTCAATTCAGTGTTGTGATGTCATGAAAACCAACATATTTACAGGCATCAGCCAATTCAAGCCTACAGCAGTTAAGCCACTGAATTTATAAGGTGTTTGTCAGCCTAGACTGCTTTTTAAACACAATACAGGGCATCCAATCAGAACAGAGCTCATTTACATATACATAAATCAGTCTTAAAGGCACAGTAACATTAACAGCCTGTTTACAGGATTGAGAAGAGAGGTTGGACAATGTCACTGCTTTTGGTGCATAAAACCACATAAATGTCAAAAATGGAAAAAGATACAAGAAAAATTACTGCTCAGTCTTGAAAAACATGGTTCTATATAGAACCATAAATGCTCAAAGAACCCTTTTGCATGATTAAAGGATACTTTGCGTCACAAAATAGTTCTTCGGATTGATGGAAAATGTGTTGTAGATGGTTCTATATAAAACCTTTTTGAAAATGGTTCTCTAGCACCAAAAAGGGTTCTGCTATTGTTATGATACATGCTTATAACAATAGAAGAACCCTTTTTTGGTGCTATATAAAACCATAGACAACACATTCCCCATCAACCTGAAGAACCCTTTCGTGATACAAAGTACTCTTTAATCATGCTAAGGGTTCTGTGACAGTTCATGGTTCTTTATAGAGCCATTTCTTTACCTAAGAACCCTCAACGAACCATCTTTGCAGGACATGTTCTGTTTAAAGCTTGTGTGTAAACTGGCTCCATGTTCCTCTGCAGTGTTATTAAAGTGGTGATGTAGAGTTTTATTCTCTGATGGAAAAGCTCACATTATTGTTTATATATAACATCTTTTTTATTTTTAAAAAAACTGAGGAACATTTGTCTTTCCATGATTTGGACCCTTTAATATTAATGTTTAACCTCATTTCATGGATAGTAAGTAAGTGAGTCAGTCATTTATTTATAGAGCACCTTCGCATCCAGAGTGCTGTACACATATGATCCAATTAACAAATACACCACATGTACACCAAAGCACCAATAATAACATAAATAAAATCAAATACGTTTGGAATCTTGATCTAAAGACCGAAACAGCGATCAGAGCGTAGACTGTATATAAGATTGTTATATACCGTCTATAGGGCGGTGCTTATGTCCAACGGTAGACATCCAAGTCTCGCACTGCAACTGCACAAGACTGGTCACCCTTGAGCTTCAGCCGAGACCGCAGAACAGCCAAGAACAACTGACCTAAAGACCTCCTGGAGCCGAAGGAGGAGTGAGGTGTTAGTAACTCTGAGATATGAGTGTGCAGCTCCTTTAAGGGCCTTAAAAACTAATGAACTAAACCTTGAACTGGACCCTGTAGTGATTTAGGGAGACTAAGACCGGAGTGATGTGCTCTCTTATATTAGCGTCTGTCAGTGATCTCGCAGCTGTGTTGCACTGTAACTGTCAATAAAGTCATTGACACCACTGTAAAGTCCACTGCAGTCATCTAAACGAGATCAGACGAGGGTGTACAGCAACCAAAAAAATGGTGAAATTCCCCTTTAAACATTGTACCATTTCCCTGTCCTGATTTGGCTCCCCCTGCAGGTGGGTGCTATACGAGAAGCCCGACTTCAAAGGAGAGAAGATCGCTCTGGACGAGGGAGACATAGAGCTGACGGATCCGTTCGGCCTGCCGGAGGACGAGCAGAACCCAATGCAGAATGGAACACAGGGGTCTGTAGAGGACCACGCCGAACCTAAACCAGCACGGCGGGTTGTCATCGGCTCTCTGCGCAGAGCAGTGAGGGTACGGCACGCTCTTCAGTTACACTTTCAGACACGTAAACGACGCCTGCAGAAACATATAACACGCACTTCACTTCATCACACATAGACGTTACTCAGAGGTCCAGACTCTGTTCACATCTTCAAAGAAACTGGTCTGACATGAATGAAATCACTGACCCCAAACTTTTGAGCGGTAGTGAATATTTGCGCTCCTGCAACAAAGAACAGCATATGTGAAATTTTGAATACCAGCATATAGGCATGGGGGGCACTGGGCTTAGTGCCCTGTGTTTAAAATAAAGGGGTCACTAAAACATAAACAAAACAGAGTTTGGCCTTTTAGTGTAAAATAAAGTAGAAAACAAAATAACGGACAATTCAAAACAGGTTGGAATGGCTCATCTATGGTTTCTCACTGATTCTCACACTAACACACCACCACTAACACACACACTCTAACGCACACTTCGGGCCTGAAGAAGCTTGTCATGCTCCCCCTTGTGTTCGGAGGGACAAGTGCATGTGGTTCTGCCTCTGCTGGTTTTATTATTTATTATTATTTGATGTGCATCATTTGACTTCCTCAGATGATATTTATCTTCTGCACACTCTTAAAAAAGCTGGCACTTCAACAGTTTAACAGTTCTTTAGTAAAGGAAATGGTTCTATATAGAACCATGAACACTCAAAGAACCCTTTGGCATGATCAAAGCGTTCTTTGCATCATGAAAGGGTTTGTCAGATTGATGGAAAATGTGCATAAATATGCTATAGACGGCTTTATATAGAACCTTTTTGAAAAGAGTTCTCTATAGCACCCAAAAGGGTTCTTCTATTCACAGTTTTTCAAAAGGTTCTATATATAACCATCTGCAGCACATTCTCCATCAGTCTGAAGAACCATTTCACTATGCAGAGAACCTTTTAATCATGTGAATAGAAAACTGTGTCCTTTACTAAAGAACTGCTGAGGCACCGTCGTTTTTAGGAACGTACTCGTGTCGTGTTTATATGATGTGCCTCTGCATCACCGCAGAGCCGGCAGGGTGTTTATTGTTTACTGCACTAATGTGAGTAATAAAAGGAAGTTTTGTTAAACTGGACTGAAAAACCAGCTCTGCTCCTCCCTCAGGACTACAGCGTTCCTGAGATCTGTTTGTTCCCGGAGGAGAACGCCGAGGGGAAGAAGGTGGTGTTCCGGGACACGTCGGAGGACGCCAGGATCTTCGGCTTCCCCATCAAAGCGAACTCCATCATCATCAACGCTGGGCTGTGAGTGACACACAAGCTCTCATCAGCTGATTAATCAGCTGTATTATTATAGGAGCCTCAGAGGGTGGAATACAGCCGCTCTGTAGGAACCGAGCTGTAAACAGTCACTGCAGTTCAGCAGCTCAGAATCACTGATCTCAACTGTGCAAAACTAATGTGTATTTTCAAAGTGCTTCACAACACAGAAGAGGAGAAAAAAGATAATCACAAATAAAATAAACAAATAATTAAAATGTAACAAATAAAAACAATAGCCGAAAAGGGGACATATTAATGATAATACAAATTTAATTGCACAGGATAAACATACAAATAAAAATAAAATAACACACAATTAACAAGAAAGTAAAAGTAATATTCCTATTAATATTCTAAACAAATATTACAGTTATTAATGTGATTATTACTTGTTAATAGTACAAAATTAAGTGATTCCAAACTTTTGAGCAATAGTGTAAAATACAGTGTAGTAAAGAGATATGAGAGAAGATAAGAATAACATTTGACCCTGCTTTAATTTTTTCCTCAGTGTGTTTGTAGAATTATAACTATATAAATTTGTATTTGTGGCACATTTTATATGAATATTTCATGTTTTTATTTTCCAAAATGTTAAACTCAGCAAACAAATAGAAACTGTGCACTAAGAATTAGCAGAAAAATGTCATATTTAAGTGTGGTCATATTTAAGTATGGTCATATTTAAGTGTGGTCATATTTAAGTATGGTCATATTTATGTGTGATCATATTTAAGTATGGTCATATTTATGTGTGGTCATATTTAAGTGTGGTCATATTTAAGTGTGATCATATTTAAGTGTGATCTTATTTAAGTGTGGTCATATTTAAGTATGGTCATATTTAAGTGTGGTCATATTTAAGTATGGTCATATTTATGTGTGATCATATTTAAGTGTGGTCATATTTAAGTATGGTCATATTTAAGTGTGATCATATTTAAGTGTGATCTTATTTAAGTGTGGTCATATTTAAGCGTGGTCATATTTAAGTGTGATCATATTTAAGTGTGATCATATTTAAGTGTGGTCATATTTAATCGTGGTCATATTTAAGTGTGGTCATATGTAAGTGTGATCTTATTTAAGCTGTGGTCATATTTAAGCGTGGTCATATTTAAGCGTGGTCATATTTATGTGTGGTCATATTTATGTATGGTCATATTTAAGCCTGCTCATATTTAAGCGTGGTCATATTTAAGCCTGCTCATATTTAAGCGTGGTCATATTTAATCATGGTCATATTTAAGCGTGGTCATATTTAATCATGGTCATATTTAAGTGCGGAGGGTGTGTTAACCTACATACGACTGTATCTGAAGAACTGCAGTGATTTCTATACGCTGGATCTTCACTGAGTTGTATGTAATTTGTTCTTATTGTAGTTTAGGTAACAAATCTGTCATAATGTAGTGACATATTTTATATATTATATACAAACACTGTATAATATCTTGTCTAATTGTTTGCGTTTTCTAAACTGAAACTCTCTTAAAGCAATACGTGATTAATAATCAGAATAATTACCTGATGGTGTGAAAGGAAACAGCCCTGAGTCTCAGTGTGTGGAGACTCTGCTGCGCTGCTTCCTCTCACTGTGTCCCTGTTGTTAATGTCTGTCTGTGCTGCAGGTGGCTGGTGTTCGCAGAGCCGTTCTTTCAGGGGGTTCCGCGGGTTCTGGAGGTCGGAGGTTTTTCAAACCCTGCAGCCTGGGGCGTCACGCAGCCCTACGTCAGCTCACTGCATCCGCTCAAAATAGTGAGTGACCCAACAGAACGCGCTCAAACACGGCTCTCAGCAGAGCACTCTTCAAAACAAGGTTCTTCAGTGAAGACAATGGTTCTATCTAGAACCTTTTTGAAACTGGTTCTGTAGAGCACCAAAAAGTTCTTGGTATGACGTCAAGTTTGTAACAATAGAAGAACCCTTTTTGATTCAACATTCTTAAAAAAGATGGTTCTACAAGGGTTCTTTAGTAAAGAAAATGGTTCTATATAGAACTGTGGACACTCAAAAAACCTTCTACATGATTAAAGGATTCTTTGCTTCATTAAAAGTTCTTCGTCAAATCGATGGAGAATAGATTTATATAGAACCTTTTTGAAAATGGTTCTTTACCGCACAAAAAGGGTTCTACTTTTGTTATGATGTCAATCTTGTAAGAATAGACAAACCCTTTGTGGTACTATATAGAACCATCTACCGCAGACACTCCATCAGTTTGAAGAACCATTTGATCATGCAAAGGGTTCTTTAAGTGGTCATGGTTCTATGCACCTTGTCTTTACTGAAGAACCCTTGAAGAACCACTTTTTGAGAGTGTAGATGTGGGGCGGGACTTTTAATTTTAGCTACTGAAATAGAGAGAAATGGAGAAATATACAGCGAACAAAGTGATGCATCAAATTTACGTTTTTAATTCCATTTTAATTTTTAATTTTCACACTTGTTGGAAACTGAAAGAGGAAATTTGTGTGTTCAGCATTTTTTTCAGTGAGTTTCTTTTTTTGAGATGCACTCAATGCTATAATTTGTCTGTCGCTCTGTGTTCCTGTCTGTCTGTCTGTCTGTCTGTTTCATAGGGAGAGCCGAGAGTGGAGAAACCCAACGAGCCTAAAGTAAGAGCCTCTCTGTGGATCTGGACAGACTCAGTAAGAGCGGTACGTGTGTGTTCTGTGTCTGATGTGCAGCTCTGTGTTGGTTCTTTAGCTGGTGATCTTCGAGAAGCCGTACTTCACTGGGAAGAGCCGGGAGATCTACACCAACACCAGGGACTTCATGACCAGAGAGGACAGACAGCAGGCGGCGTTCATGTACAGCGCTGGATCCATTAAGGTCATCGGCGGCATGTGAGTCTACATCAGTCTCCTTTAGAACCCAGAGTCCGCCCTGTCTGCATCTGCATTCTAAGGCCAGTCTTGCAGCTGTCGAGTCGTGTGGAGGGAAAATCGATAAAAATGATTTTTTTCTGCCAGATTTTTGTCCACTAACTTGTCCCACAGCGTTCAAGATATCGACACCGTTTAACTTCGGAAAAATGATTCTGAATGGGGATGTAATAAACAACCCCCTGCATAGTTCATGTGCTGTGAGTGTTTTAAGTGTTTTAAGTGTGTCTCTGTATTTATGCGCCAGATTTATGTAAATGTAATGGATGATAAAGCTTTCTTATCTGATCTGATTGTGAATGATGTACTTCTGAACAGCTTTTGTTTTTTTTTTGTACTTTTCTGGATCTTGGCTTCTGCTCAGCCGAAAGACACCATTTCCCATATACTATCTCAGCGCAGGTCCCCGAGCATGAAATCAATGTAGGAAAAGGGTCGATATCTTGAAACCTGCAGGACAAATAAGGAGAAAGAAGAAGAAGATGAATACAAATCGCATAACAGTAGCGTTACGCAATGCTTTGCAATGCCCAATCACTAATGATAGCCGCCTCATGCTAATCATGTATTTTTCTTGTAATAATCCATAGAGTGAAGCACAGCTTAAAGACACGCTAGTCTAGCAATTTCTGAAACTGACATCTTGTACAGCAGCATAAAGATATTTCAGTAACACTTGTTTGAGGGCTGCCTAAATAGGAACTACATGCATAAGCACTGAATAACACTCATGAAGCAATGTTTGGATGTTTATGGCCAGTTTATGATAGTAACCACAAGACATGAAGTAAACGACCTTTCACTGACGTAAGAGCCCTTAAACTAAAGTGATGGACAGTCGTTCCATTTATAACAGTATTATGAAGCATTATTATATTCCCAGGTAACAGAACTGAGAAGGAAGGTCTAGTTTAGAGGTTTATATCTGTTGTATGAAGTTCTATGTGAGTTACAGTATGAAACTCTTCTGTCCACACAGCGTTGTTTACTTCAGCTCATGCTATCTTGCGATTGCTACCATAAGCTGTTCATGAATGCTTTATAAATATTGCTTTTAAATGTGTTATGACATCCTTTTGTAAGGAGCCTTAAAAATAAAGTGTAACTGATATTTCAGTGATCAGAAGGTGAAGATACACCTGCATCTATTTCAGAATCGTAGAATAAGTTATAAAACATCAGGAAAGTAAAATGATTTTTCCTCCACTCACATTTGTGCATTCATGATGAAATTTCTTGATGCATTAAATCATAAAGAATCATAATCGTGGTTTGAGCTGAACTGTGGTCAGGGTCTGTATTTACGCTGCTAGTGAACATGTGCTGTCTGTTCAGTGATGCTGCAGGAATGGATTTCAGGGCTTCTCTAGTTCGGTGGTCTCACATTTCTGCTCTGATGTGTTTTCTCAGCTGGGTGGGCTATGAGAAGGAAGGTTTCCGTGGACACCAGTACCTGCTGGAGGAGGGGGAGTACCATGACTGGCGGGTGTGGGGGGGCTGTGACGCTGAGCTGCGGTCAGTCCGGGTCATCCGAACAGTGAGTGACGTTGCATCTGCAGCTCTTACTCATACAAACTCTTCACACACACAGCAGTCAGTCCCAGATAATCTGATATATCCCCACACTCAGATATATCTGAGTATAGATGGGGTAAAATTAGTTTATTATAGTTTATTTTTATTAATTAGTTTATAAACACCTGAAAATCAGTAATAAGCAGTTATAACACATAAATAAAAAGAGCCACAGTGACCTGTTGCTCGGTAAACCGTGAGCTGTGCTCCTGTGTAGGACCTGTCTCAGCCCACGTTGGTGATGTTTGAGATGCCGAATGAGGAGGAGGTGCAGGAGGAGCGGACGTTTGAGGTGACGGAGGCGGTTCCTGATGTGGAGCTGTTCGACTTCCGGACGGCCACTCGATCCATCCACGTGCTGAGTGGAGCGTATGTGCAGCTTAATGACTGACTTTACTGTCACTTTACTCTATTTACTGTCACTTAATTTCACTTTACTATCTTTACTATCACTTATTCTCACTTTACTCTCACTTTACTGTCTTTACTTTCACTTATTCTCTCTTTACTCTCACTTTACTATCTTTACTTTCACGTATTCTCACTTTACTCTCACTTTACTATCTTTACTATCACTTATTCTCACTTTACTCTCACTTTACTATCTTTACTTTCACTTATTCTCACTTTACTCTCACTTTACTATCTTTACTTTCACGTATTCTCACTTTACTCTCACTTTACTGTCTTTACTATCACTTATTCTCACTTTACTCTCACTTTACTATCTTTACTATCACTTATTCTCACTTTACTCTCACTTTACTATCTTTACTATCACTTATTCTCACTTTACTCTCACTTTACTATCTTTACTTTCACGTATTCTCACTTTACTCTCACTTTACTATCTTTACTTTCACGTATTCTCACTTTACTCTCACTTTACTGTCTTTACTTTCACTTATTCTCACTTTACTCTCACTTTACTGTCTTTACTTTCACTTATTCTCACTTTACTCTCACTTTACTGTCTTTACTTTCACGTATTCTCACTTTACTCTCACTTTACTGTCTTTACTATCACTTATTCTCTCTTTACTAGCATTAATTCTTATTTTACTTTCTTTACTCGCACTTTATTCTCTCCTGCTCTCATCTTAACCTGACTATTCTCCTGACTTTACTCTCACCTCATTATCACTTCAACCTCATTTTACTCTTATTTTAACATTTTAATCTCACTTTACTTTCTTGCTCTCACTCCTAATTTTATTGATTTATTATATCACTTATTCTCACTTTAACCTTAACAAAGATGGTTACTTTACTATTACTTCACTATCACTCTAATTTACCCCCACTTTACTGTGACTTATTCTCACTGTACCCTCATTTTACTCTCACTTTACGTTCACCTTTATTTTTTTCTGAATCTACTCTCTTACTCTCACTTTCACTGTCACTTTTCTCTTACTTGCCTCTCGTTTACTGTTACAGTAAAAAGTGTAGAATCTGTTTTTAAAGCTCGTATTTTCATTTCTATTGAGAAAGTGTGCATTTTATCATCATCATCTACCTTTGAGCATTTTTATATAATGTTTAATACATAATACTCGTATAAGCGGCAGGCCTGAAAGCTGTGTGGACGTGTTTGGTCTGCAGGTGGGTGGCGTACTCTCACGTGGACTACTCTGGAAACCAGTATGTTCTGGAGAAAGGCTTCTACAACAACTGTGCAGACTGGGGCTCTGAAGACAACCGCATCTGCTCCATCCAGCCCATTCTACAGGTGACCGAACTCACCAAGGACAGTTCCGCACACTCAGACTCACTGTTAACGAAACTGTTAATGATGGACGACTAACACACACACAGTCCGTGACTCTTACAGTGTAAAGGCTGGTCACTGTGCTCTGTGAGCTGGACCTGGTTTCATTCTGTAACTCAGACTCTGTTTAGGTTATGATTCTAAAGTAAACACTGACTGGTTCATTATTCACTGGTTGGTCTTCTGTTTTCAGGCCCAGTCTGAAGGCCCCAGCTTCCGCAGTGAGGTTAGTTTACTCAGACGTCTGTTAAACCCCCAATATCTGTATCAGTGATCAGTGATAGAGAACGATGACTCTCCCGTGACAGAGTGTATTTATGTTATTTACATGTTGTCTGTCTTCTCTCTGCTGCTGTAGCTCCTGCTGTACTCAGAGCCTGGTTTCCAGGGCGTGTGCCAAGTGTTCAGTCGGAGACACGAAACTCTGCCTGAAAGACTGGGGGTCCGATCCTGCAGGGTCATCGGGGGGAGGTGTGTCTAATTTCTACTAATGTTCTGGCTGTGGTTTTAATAACTTGTCTGATTTTGACAGTGATGTTAATCCACACAGATTAAGCTCACATCTCCAAAATAGTAACTTACAGGAAAAGGAAAAGGAGCTTAACTTTCAGTGTAAGTTACTGTGAAGTTACAAGGCTTTTGTTCTGACAACAACTCATTATTCTGAAATAGTGAGTAAATATTTTGAGAAAATAAGTCATTATCTAGTTATTATCTCAGGAATTATTTTCTCAAAATACTGACTTACTATGTAAGAACTTTGACTTATTTTTCCAAGATATTAACATAGTAAGTTCTTGGGAAAGAAGTAGGTCAGTATTTTGAAAAAATAAGTAATTATCTTTGCCTAGAAAGTTGATATCTTGAGAAAATAAGTCATTATACTGACAGTATTTTGAGAACATAAGTCATTATTTTGATATAATAAGGTAATATTCTGGTCAAATAATTATTTTTTCTAATAAAGTAAGTTAATATTTTGAGAAAGTGAGTCATTATCTTGACATAGCGAGTCTGTATTTAGAGTAAATAATCTGACAGTGTAAGTCTGGAGAGGTAGTAAGTCATTACTCTGAGATAAAAAGCTGTTATTCTGCTGTATATTGTAATATTCAGTGATGTTGGTTCGTGTGACTGATGTTTTGGTTGTGCTGTTAGTCCCCAATCAGTATTGATTGATTAGAATAAGCAGTGTGTAGTTTGGAATAAGGTGTTTGTGCTGATCACCTATGTGTGTGTGTGTGTCAGCTGGGTGTTGTATAACAGCACTAACTTCCTGGGGGAGCAGTACGTGTTGTCAGAGGGGGATTATGCTAACTTAACCAGTATGGGCTGCCCCCCCGACTGCCTCATACGCTCCGTTAAATCTGTGCCAGTGGTGAGTACAGCTGTCTATCTGTACATTACCTCTCCTCCATCTCTCTCTCAGTCTGTTCTCTCTCTCTCTCTCTCTCTCTCTCAGTCTCTCTCTTCTCTCTCTCTCTCTCTCTCTCTCTCTCTCTCTCTCTCTGTCTCTTTCTCTTTCTCCCTCACACTCTCTCCCTCTGTCCTGACTATCTCTCTTGCATTCTATCTGTCTCTCTCTCTCTCTCTCTCTCTCTCCTCTCTCTCTCACCGTCACTGTCTGGTTCTCTCTATCAGACGTTCTCAGTGCCGTCCGTCTCTTTGTTCGGTCTGGAGTGTTTTGAGGGCCGAGAGGTTACCGTGGAGACTGAAGTGTCCAACATGATGGACGAGGGCTATAACCCTCACATCCTGTCTGTCAGAGTCAACAGTGGCTGGTGAGTGACTGAGTGAGTGAGAGAGAGTGAGTGAGTGAGAGTGAGAGAGAGAGAGTGAGAGTGAGAATGAGTAAGGGAGAGTGAGTGAGTGAGTGAGAGTGAGTGAGAGAGAGTGAGTGAGTGAAAGTGAGTGAGTGAGTGAGAGTGAGAGTGAATGAGTGAGAGTGAGTGAGTGAGAGTGAATGAGTGAGAGTGAGTGAGAGTGAGTGAGTGCGAGTGAGTGAGTGAGTGAGAGTGAGTGAGTGCGAGTGAGTGAGAGTGAGTGAGTGCGAGTGAGTGAGTGAGAGTGAGTGAGAGTGAGTGAGAGAGAGTGAGTGAGTGAGAGTGAAAGAGTGAGAGTGAGTGAGTGAGTGAGAGAGTGAGGGAGAGTGTGTTTATTTGTGTACCTGCCTCTCTCATCGTCCTCATAATGATCTACTCTGTCACTTCCTGCAGCTGGGTGTTATGTGAGCACACTAACTACAGGGGGCGCCAGTTCCTGCTTGAGCCCATCGAGATCACAAACTGGCACAAGTTCAGCTCCCTCTCCTCCGTCGGCTCCATGTACCCGATCCGCGCGGTGAGTCCGGGAACGGCTGCAGAGTCGAGCTGGAGCTCAAAACACACCCAGACACACAGAACCAGAGTCAGAACTTTGATGATCTACAGTTTTTTCTTCTTCTCCGTTTCTGAATTATGTCAACATATTCACTTCCCACATTAATGACTTTGAGTGGAAGTGGAAAAAAAGGATATGAGTTAATAAATTAAGTAATCAAGTAAGAAAGTAATTAATTTTTTTAATCAAAGATACAATCAAATTTTCATTATTTTGACCTAGTAAGTCAATATTTTGAGATGCTAAGTCAATATTCCAAGAAACTAAGTCATTTTACTGACATAAAAAGTCAATATTTTGAGAAAATATGTCTTTATTTTGGGATCATAAGCATTTTAAGTCATTATTTTACTAAGCGATACTAAGTCAATATTCAAAGACAGTAATTTTTCTGACATAATAAATAATTTGGGAGATTAAGTCATTATTTTGAGATACTAAGTCAGTATTTTTCTGACATTATAAGTAAACGTTTTGAGACAATACGTCTTTATAACGACATTATAAGTGAATGTTTTGAGAAATTAAGCCATTATTTTGAGATACTAAGTCAAAATTTAAGAAATTAAGTCATTGTTCTGATATAGTCGATTAATATTTTCAGAACATAAGTTATAGTTTTGAGATACTTAAGGTTCCAAGTCAGCATTTTGAGACAATATTTCAAGAACAGTAAGTCGTCATTCACAGCAGGTCAGTATTTGATGAATTATTCTGAGGTACAGTGAAATGTCGACCTCCTGCTGTCAGAAACAGAGAAATGCTGTGAGCACCTGTGTGTGTTTAACACGTGTATGTTTTCCTGCAGAAGCGGAGACTTTTCCGGATCCGGTACAAAGAGACCGGACACTACATGTCGGTGCAGGGCGGAGTGGACACTATGAAGTCTGGGCGCGTGGTGGTGTCCAAACAGGTGGAGGGTATGAGCGACATCTGGTTCTATCAGGACGGCCTGATTAAGAACAAGGTTGGTTTGATAGTTTGTTTACATCCTCATTAGTCCTGACGAGAGACTCTTACAGCGATCCGCACAAACACAGCATCAGAATCAGGGTCAGAATCCTTATTCGCCGAGTAGCAGGTGTCACCATAACGTTAAATCCAATAACATAAATGTAGAAAAAGATATACAGCATATAATCATAAAACAGTACACAAACAGGCCGCGGGTAAGAGGACGTGCAGTGAGAGAGACAGATGTCGTCGCTGTCTGGATAAAAACGTGTATCTCTACAATGGTGACTTTACAGTCGAGGGCAAAACATTTCTTAACTTTTAATTTAAGTTAATGTGAAGAGATTTTTTATTTCTATTGATCCATTCATCGTGAAATATTCACACAGTGTGACGGACGACACAGTGATGATATTTACTAAGCTGTACAGAGCCGCTCTTGTTCTTTCTGTAATAGAGGCTGTATTGTTTATTATAATGCTGATCTGTCTGTCTGTCTGTCTGTCTGTGTGCAGTTGGCGCAGAACATGAGTCTGCAGGTGATGGGGAATGTGGAGTCAGGAGCGAAGGTGGTGCTGTGGTCAGAAACCCGAACGCCTATTCAGACGTGGAGTGCCCAGCTCAGTGGCGCCATCTCCAGCCTCACCTTCCCCGGCCTGCTGCTGGACGTCAAAGGTGCGTATTTAAGGGGGCTATTCTACAGTGGCCCTCAGCCTGCTGTGGCTCACAAAACGACAGGTCCTGCCACCTGCAGTCTGACACTTTAGGGCCTTTAGGCCAGCTGTTTTTCACTTTAAAGCAGTGGTCCCCAATTTTTTTACAGTCAGACATTAATCTTCCTGTTGTTACCCCCTCTCACCCCTCACACACGCGCATATTGTCATGGTGCTTATGGAGACATTTAGGCTTTGTCCACTCAGCAGGTAAAAAGTGGCCCAAATCCAATCTTTTTTTTTATATGTGACACAGATGTGTGTCTGTGTGTCAGTGTGAACAGATAAACGCTCTGAATCTGACATTTTCAATTCCGATTAGAGACGCTTTCATATGTGGTACTGAAATCCAATACGTATCCGATCTGCGGCAGTGCGACTCTCTGAACAGGCAGATCGGAATTCATGTGACTGTTACGTCAGTCCAACTCGACATTCATCATAATTTTGCGCTGCTGAGACTCAGAAACATTTGGGTGATGATTCTGCACAAAGATTAGAAGAGACTTACTGCTACCGCTCAGTGTTCAGAGAGATTTCTAAAGAAATGTCTGAACGCGGCCGCAGGAGAACGAGGCTGCAGCGTCAAAGAACCGGTAAAAGTCTTTTTACGGCTCGAACACATTCTGGATGATGAGCCCAGCTGTCGGTCAGTGAAGCTTCATGATGGCTCCTGTGATGCTGGTGAAGATGAAGCTGATCCTCCGGGAGCGACTGGCGTTCGCTGGCGGTCGTGATTGTTTACCTCTGGATGAGCCATGAAGCAGCGTGACGCTCTGATCTTCTGCTCTGTGGTCAGTTTAGGAGCTGATCTGTTCAGACTGATGTCCCATACAGATCACATTTAAAAGATAATCTGAACAAACAAAAAAATCAGATTTGGTGAGAAAATCAGGTTTGGGCCACTTTTACCTGCTGTGTCAATGCAGCCTTAGACTGATCAAATCAGCCCACCTCAATGTATTTGTGTGTTTTTGATGTGATGAAACAACACATCAGATGTACCCTCACACTAAAAGGTGCTAAACTGAAATTGGGGTGGGACCCTCAAGGGTTCCTTTAGTTAGGGAACATAAATGAACCATAATGCATTGCAGTTATGAGCTACATTTTTAGGTTAGACTGACTCCATGTTCTCTATCCTGACTCCATTATTAATTTCTATTTTAAAACATCAGGTTATATAAAGCTACAAATATGCACGTTTCCTCTGGGAAACTTTAAAACAGCGAGTAACTAAATGTTACTAACCTGAGTTTGCCCTGTGTTGTATTGGCCGGCTAATGGAATTAAATTAAATAGGGATTAATGTCATTTTATGTACCCCCAGTGCCACAGTTTGGGAACCACTGCGTTACTATAGACACTGCAAAAATATGATTATGGCAGTTTTTCATAGCCTTTTTCTAAAATGTGCCATTTGTTTCTGTCCATTTCAAATCTCACAAGAACATATAACAATAATATCCTGACGTTGTGTTTATGCTGATATCTCCCACCCTTAATTCACACTGCATTCTGAAGAGCATGTTTAGATATCAGAGCATCTTCACTGTAGAAAATATTAACGTAAAAGAGTGAGTCAATCTGTCCGTCTTAAAATTGTAAGTTAATTAAAGTTTGTTATAAGCATGTTTGAAGCTCGACAAAATCACCTTTAAAAGGCTGCCAGGTGTTTTAGTTAAAGCTCATGTGCAGCGAATGTGTGAAACCGAACACTGAGCTTTTGTTGAAGCAGAAGAAGAATAAAGGTCCTCTTTTCTTCCAGGTGGCAAAACGTACGACAAGGAGCACGTGATCGTCCGCAGCGAGGCTGAAGAAAATGCTGGTCTATGGGAGCTAGAACTCCTTTAAGCCCCGCCCCTTCATACACACCTCTTGTCTTACCTGTTCTACCTGTTCTCTCACTTTACATTCACATTCCCGGAGGAACCCACTCAGTTTAATGTTTCTCGGTTTCTCCTCATCTAACACGCCCGGTTCTGCTGGTGAAGGTCAGCTGATGTCCAGATTAATCCAGTCCTCACAGGGCTGCCAGAGTTTACCAAAATAACCACGGACACGTTCACAGGATTACAGGGACATCATTACTATTTCTATTATTATTATTATTATTATTACATACTTTCTTATTAAACAGCACTGTCAGCATCATTTAGCATTTGTTAAGGTGGACCACGACACATTTTGCATTGATGACCTCCACATGATGTGTGGACGTTCTGAGAGATTCACCTGTTCACTTTTTAACAGACCTCAGAAATGGTGACCTTCTTAAAGGGAAACTCCACCAACTTTTCAGAAGTTCTGCATAATTAAGTAGTTAAGATGTAAACAGTCTTTCAGAGTGGTTCAGAGAGGTTCAGAGCAATTTGGTCTGAAACGTTCCGTTCTAGATAAACTTACCGAGTCAGAACTGTTCACAGTGGTGGTGATAGGAACCAGACGTCCACCTCTAAAAGCTCCCTCACAGAAGGTTCCTACATGAAATGGTTATGAATTCACTGCCTGATGACTGAGACACTGTTTTATGATAGTTTAGAGAACTTAAACTCCATTCATGGTGGAGGGATACATGCAGGGCGCTGTGAGGCAAAATAGTCCCCAAAGAAAACTTATTATTTCAGATTTTCCACTGTTTCACCATCTTATAAATGCTCAGGAGACACGTGTGTGGAGTTCCTCTTTAACTGATATTGTGAGGTGAAAAGCTTATTTTTTTCGTTGGCGCACTCATCATGAAATGTTCATGCAAAACAGCAGCTGGCATTTTTATATTATATAAAAAACAATAAAAGGAGTTCTTTCCGGACGCCGATGACGGTAGGTCAGTGTTTTGTCCTCTTTTCATTGGTTTGTTCTAGACTGCAGACTCAGGACTGTGTGTATAATGGTTACTCATTAACGCAGCACCTTCCATATGAACCTCAGGAAGAGCAGCTGATGCCTTTGGCGGTGACAGATCACAGCCTGGCGAGGCACACCAGACCCTCCACACCCACTCAGTACAACAACAACAACGTAAAAATCAGTTTAAAAATACCAAAATAGTACTAAAATACAATTCGAACCTGAAAAAAAATGAAAAATACATCTCCATCAGGACCACAGCTCAAATATATGTTTCAGAATTTGAAAATGCCATCTGCTGTTTATATTGAATTAATATTTCATGATAAATGGACCAGCAGTGGCCCAAAATGACTTGGGGTGAAAAACATGTTCCATTCGCTTGCATTCAAAGGTTAAGAATGTTAGTGGTGCCTTTGCACTGACCCCCACTGGCCCTGACTGTTATCCACACTCAGGCCGTCGGCACAGCTAATGAAGATCCAAACAAGCCAGTAAATCAATAACGTATTGAACATCTGCTCACCTGATTAATCTGCTCTGTACTGCAGTTCAGACCATTAGAACCCAAGTCTGACTGACATGATTAAACATATCTAACAGTGTTAAAGTCATAATTCTGCTTTTCTTTGATGCTCAGAACGTTTATAAATGAAATAAGTGTGTTTACCCAGCAGCCACTGTTTATCATTGAAACTGTGGTGCCTACTGAGCACGTCCACCCTGCCCAGCCGGAGAGGAGGATCTACACATCTCCTCAAGTTCCAGAATGTGCTAGATTTGTCCTTTTTGATACCAGCCAGCTGAAAGTCCAGCTCTGACTCAGACTTCTGCACCGACTCAGTTGCCTTACAGTGTATTTAAGATGGACGTTGATGCGAAGCGAGACAGTCCTGTTGTTGGATGTATGAATGTGACTGTGTTGATGTTCTCATCAGTAATTTTGGGGTGTGGATGTTCTCGTGTGTGTGTTTCAGTGTGAATGTCTGTAGCTGTTGCTATGCTATCGGTGTTACTCTGAGGTGTTTCTATGAAAAGGTGTTTTAGCTGCTGTCATGCCAAAATATATAGAAATATATAAACATGTTCATCTGAGTATTAAACAAATGTACTGTTTTTATAACTGTATTCTTTAAAGTATAATGTGAATTGTTATGACAGGGAGTGGCTTCATTTTTTTAATAAAAATACTAAAAATTGAGTTTTTTTCTCATTTCAATGTTATTTTGGGCCGCAGTTTGTTTAATTAAAGGTCAGATTCAGAGAAATATTATACTACAGCTGATCATTTCTGCTATCACTGCTTATCACTAAGCTAACGCCGGAGCACAGGAACATTCTCTGGCAGTTATAAACGAAACATCTGAAGCTGTGAAAGTCATTCCATCTGTTTTATCTGAAGTCTGTATCAGACATTATCATATATCTGATCTTGTGTGTATCAGTGCTACAGGGACTCTGCCGCCACTGTTTAACATTCCTAACAACGAACCGGAACCTGTTCAGACCACAGCTCATATTCAGTCAGTTATCTAGAACTTCCAGAAGGACTAGAGTGATGTCTTATTGTAAAGCAGAGCATGTTTGGTTGATTCTTCTGTCACTTCCTAATTATGCTGGTAGTTAATCTAATGTGTAAGGCCTTCAGTCCAGTTCCTGAAATCCTAACCAATAGGAGAGCAGCTCGGCTGAATCTTACTTACTTCAATAATTGCAGAGTTTAAATACGTCAAGGCATGTATTCCAGAGACGTTGGACCTTTTCTGAAGATCTAGAAGTTCTTGAGGGTTCTCCCGCTGATGATAAATGGTGACCTCCAGCTGAACCTGTATGGATCAGCCAGTTCCGAGGGTGGAGCTGTAGCGCATGAGTGCTGCTGCGTAATGCAGACGATGTAGTGAGGAACAGGAGTGGCACTGAGTTCCAACGCTTCTGTCTCCACTTTCGCCCACTGTCACACACACACTGACGAAAACATGAACAACTGCTGATAAAAACACATTGCAGCACTCACCAAAGCGGCTTGGTGATGCAGTGATGAACTGTTTTCACAGACAGAGGTTTTCAGAAGTGTTTCTGAGCCCATGCAGTGATTTCCACTACAGAATCATGTCTGTTTTTAATGCAGTGCTGCCTGAGGGCCCAAAGATCACGACCAGCAAATACTGGTTTTTGTCCTTGTCCCTTACATACAGAGATTTTTTAATGTTATTATGTACCGTAGATGATGAAAAGCTAAAGTTCTTTGCTATTTTATGTTGAGAAACGTTATTCTTGAATTGTTGCACTATTCGATGGTGCAGTCTTTCACAGAGTGGTGAACCCCTCCTCATCTTTACTTCTGAAAGACTCCGCCTCTCTGAGATGCTCTTTGTATCCAATCATGTTACTGACCTGTTGCCAATCAACCACCAGAGTGTTTTTTTAGCATTACGCAACTTTACCAGCCTTTTGTTCCCCCGTCCCAATCTTTTTTGGAACTTGTTGTTGGCATCAAATTCAAAATGGGCAAATACTTTTCAAAAAACTATTTTTGACATGTTGTCTTTGTACTCTTTACAACGAAACATATGGTTCAAATTATTTGCACATCATTGCATTTTGTTTTTACATTTTGCAAAGCATCCCAACTTTTTTGGAATTGGAGTTGTAATTTACTAACAGCTACCTTTACTAAATCCCTGCTGGGATGGGATTAGTTCTGCATGAGGAGGTGGGTGATGCCAGTTTACCTCAGGATGTCTGTAATGTTTATAAATGATTCACACAGCTAGTGGATCAGACACAGCAGTGCTGCTGGAGTTTTAAACACTGTGTCCACTCACTGTCCACTCTATTAGACACTCCTACCTTGTCGGTCCACCTTGTAGATGTAAAGTCAGAGTCGATAGCTCATCTGCTGCTGCACAGTTTGTGCTGGTCATCCTCTAGTCCTTCATCAGTGGTCACAGGACGCTGCCCACAGGAAGCTGTTGGCTGGATATTTTTGGTTGGTGGACTATTCTCAGTCCAGCAGTGACACTGAGGTGTTTAAAATCTCCAGCAGCACTGCTGTGTCTGATCCACTCAGACCAGCGCAACACACACTAACACACCACCACCACGTCAGTGTTACTGCAGTGCTGAGAATGATCCACCACCCAAATAGTACCTGCTCTGTGAGGGTCCATGGGGGTCCTGACCACTGAAGAACAGGGTAACAAAGTATCAGAAAAACAGATGGACTACAGTCTGTAACTGTAGAACTACAGAGTGAAACTATACGGTCAGTGGAGCCGATAAAGTGGACAGTGGGTGTAGAAACAAGGAGGTGGTTTTAATGTAAGTTGGAAATCCATTTTTGCTAATATATGTCATGGATTTGACATCCATATGTTGCCATGTGTCAGATGTTCTGTGAGAGTCCGGTTGCTCGGTCACTCCTGTCATGTGCCGTGGTTTATTCACCTCATCATCAGTGAGAAGGTCACCGAGGCCTGTGAGCTGAGCTGAGCTGTGCGTGCGGCTCCTGTTGATGTTCACTGAGCCTCATTACCTCCTCTCACACTCAGTCGCACTTTCAGCCAAGAGGAAACAGAAGGCGCTGATGAGGGAGCTTTCTAAGATTAAGCATCAGGAACCACTGACAATTACAAACACCCACTTTCTCCTCCTCAGCAGCTCTGAGTGTACATGAGGTTCTGATCCTGCTGCCTGTGTAGAGCTTTTAAGGTCAACCTGAAATCTAAATGTTTTTTGCTGTGTTACTTCATGACCTTGGTCCCACTGAGCACAGTCCATTGTGTCAAATCATTCAAAAGACATGGACAGGTATTTTTATATAACTGAAATGCATGTCAAGCACACGCAGTTGATGCTGAAATACATTCCACACTCTAAAATGTATTAATGCATATTAACTAAATATATTTTTTATTATATTAAAATATATGGAGTCTGACACCTTTAGAGATGAATTTGTGTTCCAGTATCTTCATTTTAAATCTGATCAAATGATCCTTTAACAGGACAGAAGCGAGTGTTGTGGGTATTGATACTCTGTGAAAATGCAGTTATGATCTGATATCTTGTTTATGTGAAATACATTGTGTGTGAGAGTCTGACTGCAGACGTACATGGTTAATGTAAAGTACAGTGCAGATCACAGAAGAACGTTTAGTCACATCTGGAACCTTCATTAAACACAACTGAACACAGATAATAACTAATACTGATAAAAGCATTTAAATATATATTTAACAAACACATTTTTGGCCATTTTCATGAATTGCAAAATATATTTGATGAATACATTTGGAATGTATTTTTTTCATATGGGAGTGTAGTGACATTTTCCTCTAAACACTGTCTGACGTTTGGTTAAGTCACTGTGTTCCAGTGGGCGAGAAAAATTATACTGTCCAATAATATCGGAACATCTTCAGCAAAAAAAATAAATAAATAAATAAAATCACATTTTTACTCAATTTGCAACCTAAATTTGTGACATTTTTAGACTTTGGGAGGCAAAAAGAAACTAAAATTGATATTATATAGATGCACTAAATATTGTCTCACGTAAAAGAGTTACTGTTATAAAATAGTGAACTTGGACACCAAAATGCCTGTTGTATTAATGACCCATTACAAATATAATGTCTGTATGATATGAACACCCCTATCATGTAATCACCCAGACACTGACTCACTCCACCTACAGCACACAGCCAATCATTTCAATGCATTTCTCTGTATTTAGTACAAGATCAGTCTCAGACTGACCTATAATAGAAGCAGATCAGATTGTAAGGCTCTTTTAAACTGTGCTGTGGTGTGTTGGTGTCCAGGTCACACCCAGGGGACGGATATCTGATCTGATAGCGGAGTGTGCAGATCCCGCTGTGCCAGAAGCTCTTTTGTTCGAGGTATTTCGACCATAGTGTGACTGTCTGGTTTTGTTCCTGAGCTGCAGAGCACAAAGTCTGATGGTGCAACCTGATCCACACCTGCTGGATCCGACACGAGCTGCAGATACGCCGTATATGTGGGCACTTCCTCCCGATTTGTCCTGCTTTCAGCCAACAGACCATCTGGATCCTTAACCCTTGTGTGGTGTTGATGTGTGTGTTACTCAGTGGTCTGCTGGACCCACCGCATTATTGTTTATTAAATCAATACAGCCATAACAGTTTATGTAAAAATACCAGATGTTTAAAATATCACAAGTGTCCACATAGGGTTCTCCTTTAGCAGCTGTAGCCAGTCAGCAGCCTATCCATGTTGTCCACCCTCACACACACACACATATACAAACACACACACACACACAACTCACTGTACTAGTTCACATTTTAAGAAAATAAACTAAAGAAGGTACTAAATTGTTGTTAGCTTTAGCTGAAACCCTGCTGAAAAGACCAGCACTTTAATTCCATACTGATCTAAACTGGTTTAGCTGGTCACCAGCATCCAAAACACAAAATATCATTGCTGTCCACAAAAAAACACAAACATCTCCATTTTTTTCCAGTTTGAATTTTTCTACATCATTTGAGTTCATCAGCTGCTCTTTACACTGTGTGAAGATGACATGATTTGGAATTAAACCTCTTTACATTCACTTACATTCAAAATAAAGAATATTTTGTCCTCTCCTGTAAATTTGCCATTTTGGAGATACTTGTTTTTCTTTGGACAGCAACGATGCTGGTTTTACTGGTACCTGACTATGCTGGTCTGTGCTGGGATGACCCGGAGAACCTCGGGTTTATTTATAATTTAAGAATAATCCGTCTAAAACTGTGGATGCAGGACAAAGAAAGAATGGCAGGTGGTAAAATCAGTTCACTAACAGTGACAGCTGTGCATCCCAATCGATCAATCAATCAGTCAATGATTTAAGCAAAAAATAAATAAATATAATAAATAAAATATAATAAATAAATTTATATTATAAATATATTAAAATATAAATAAATTTATATTATAAATATAAATAAATAAATAAATAAATAAATAGGAACATCCAAACAGAGAGTCGAACTATGTTACGATCCTATGTATTGAAAATCAGGTTAGACGTTTTTAAGCTTTTTGGTTTTGAGTTTCCTCAGTAATCTTCAAATCTCTGGTTCTGTGTTTTAGAGAAAGGCTGAGGATGTTTCTGTGGGTGGGATCAGGTGACTTTGAGCTGATAGACTGGTCTATAATCTCATCTTCCAC